GTGACACAGTTGTTCCTCGAGCAATTTCTAATAGAAAACCACAAATCATTATTTGACATATTATGTAAAAAAACAAACGCTCAAACCTCAGCAGGAGAAAAGAGTTCTACGGATTTACTGTAAAAATCTGATTGATTTTGCAGGGAATGAATGGAATCAGATTGACTTTATCGGTTATCAAGTTTCAAATCAGTGTGCTGCTCTCACCGAAGCAAACCTGTTATGTCCAACATCACATCCTGAATTGGCTTATTTACGCGAAACTCCACTAACACCAACGCAATACATCACTGATGTTCAATACATGGTAAGTTATAACATAAAATTAATCAAAAATTCTTTCTAAATTTTTTCCTTTAGCGGTTAATCGGGTTCTTCAACGCCTTAAAAATATGCAAATTTTTTGGATAGAAAGCGATCTCGAGAACCAAAGTAACGAGCTGAAACTTTGCAGGAATATTCACAGTATTTTCTATACACCCATGAGCTAAAGATTTCAAATCCAGTCCCCAGATACGTGTGGGCTCGAGTTGTTTTTAAGCGTTTTTTGCTCTGCAACAGCTTCACAAAACGCATATTGTCACAGGATTGTCACTGTGTGTATTTTTGTGTATGTGTGTGTGTGATTGCGTGTGTGTGTGTGTGTGTCGGATGCATCTTGTTCGCAACTTCTAATTCGAGAACCACAAAAGCTAGGAAGCTGAAAATTTTGGGGAACGTTTCCCACCCACGTACGACCCCTGCAAATTTAAATTCAGCCTTTCCGTGTGTCCACGGGTAACACGTACAGTCTCGTAAAACTTTTGACAGGGGAAATTATTTCCATTGTGAAAACGCCGATGGCCGGTCTACTGACGATCCTGACGTTCATTTTTTTTCTTATGTAGTTACTAGTTCACTTAACAGAAACACTTGGAAGGGCTTTAGCTCATTAAAAAAAAGCGAAACTGTTTTTTTCAGGAGAAGAATGAATATGGTGTGGAAACACGTAAAGACGGTCGTCCGATGCCTGTTGAATATTTGCTTGTTGATGTTCCAGCGGGTATGCCAAAAGAACCACATGCTACTTTTAATATTTCAAAGAAATGTTATTTCCCAAGTGAAAATCGTACATTAATTGGAGAATTACAAGTAAGGAATCTTTTTTTTAGAAAAAAAGAGTTATCGACAATTTTACCAGCGTGTGGTTGCTGTTGGCACTTGTCGCTACTCGGGTTATTTCCGGTTCCTTCCGCCTTTCATCAGTGAAAATACGAAGAGGAAAAGGGGTCAGGAGGGGCTTTTGCAAATGTTTTGCCAATGCTACATCAGTTTAAGCTCACTGGACTGTTTTGTAGTTGGCAAATTATATATCCTGGACAAATTGTTCCATATTTAAATGAAAAAAATCATTTTTTGCCAGATTTTTAAAGATTTTTTTTTCAATTGTTTTTTGTA